TTTTTTTTTTTTTTTTTTTTTCTTTTTTTTTTTCCTTTTTTTCTTTTTTTCTTTTTTTTTACATTGCATTTTCGAATCTTAAACCACCAGTACACCCGAGGCTATCTGTACGAGCCTGAATTTTCAATTTTGCCGAGGCTAGAAGCAACGGGGACCACCACTTGGAAAATTGAGGGTGGTAACGGTACCGGCCTTTCTCGGATTGAGTGCTGCACCTGCTGCCAGCAGATGGTACAAACAAGAGGCCATTGTTTTCCCTCGTCCCCCCCGTCCCACTGCAAAACTCTCCTGCAAGCCCACCCATGTATCTGGCTTTTCCCGCACAACAGATACAACAGGGCAACGGCAGATAAAGAGGTAAGTAGTTTGGTTTCTCAACTTTCTCTTTTTTTCTTTTTTTCCCTTTTTCTTGTTGCCTTGCCAGCAGGGCAGGGCGTAGTGCAGCCTCTGCACCCAAATTAGTGCACTGGTGAGTACAGTGGCAGGGAGTTTCAAAGCAACATCACGGGCTCGGCTCGATGCATCTGGCCGTAAGTGCAGCCCGAATCCATGGTAAAAGACACAACAGCATGCTGGCCCTATTGCCATCCGATTCAACCACATGTGGCTGTAATTGCACCCAGATACTTTTTTTTTTTTTTTTTAAGCCAGATACTTTTTTTTTCTTTTTTTTTCAATATTGCACATTATATTGCACACCAATTAAAAAGGAGGCCGGGGACCTCACAATTCCACCCGGAGTTATCCCGGCAGCATCAGCCGGTTTCGTTTACAGCCATCAGGTCTGGAAACTCTTGTACACCGAATACCTCTTATCAAGAAGGGAATACCTCTTCACTTTTCCTTTTACCAAAAGCACAGCACTGCCTATTCCAGCTATTCGAATCCACAGCCCTGCGACCGTTATCTACTCTGTCTGACATACTAACCTCCTGGATATCCCCGATTACTTATGCACAGAGGGTTTACCCATCTAACCTACAGTCCACTATGCTGCCTATACACTGCTCCCTGCTACACAGGCCTACGCGGCCTGACACCAGCCTAAACGGACCGGTTGGAACCAAAGTTCCAAGTAACCTTGGCACTCTTCCACCCTGCCCCCTAGGTGACCTACCGAGGTCCTTACTTCGAACCGAGATACCCTGGTTCAACGGCTTCTCCGCCCTCGCTAATCTACCCGGTTAACCACTTGGAAATAACCAGGCCTCGAGTGGTGCGTACACCTGCCAGCTGTTTCCCTTTGGCCCATGAACGCAGAAACCACCAGAGCTGGAGACTGGATGCTTTCCCACACTTCGCCTTCTTCCTCCAGTCTGCCCAGATTGCTCTCCTCAGGCCTCGCTTAATGGCCGCCTGAATTTCCCGGTCCGAAAATGGCCTGCCCTCAAACCTGGACCGATTCCTATCGGCCCAGATAACTGAGCAGGTAATTCCCCTCGCTACCTGGGCTAAGTAAGGCCAGCCCTTCATCCCTGATTGCTCTTCCTGCACCAAGCCAAGCAAAACCCAGCGTTCATCCCATTCGATGCCTTCTCCTCCCATCCTGCCTCAATGATATTCCCACCATTTCCATATTCTCTTAGCAGCCGGGCAGTCCCACCACAAGTGTCTGGTGGACTCGAATGGCCAGGAGCAGCGGGAACACTTCAGGGAGACCTCCATCCCTCTGCTGCACAACCACACCGCTGACGGAGTAACCAGCAGTGACAGCATCCAAAGTTGGCTAGACTGCTTAAGGTCTTGAAGCACTTGAAGCACCTTCCACAGTTTCAGAAAGTCACTTTCTCTTCCCTGCAAGTCCTCCATCAAGACTGTATTCCATCTAGACACCGCTACTCCTGCCGGGGACCTGCCTTTGCGCTCCGCCAGCTTGTAGGATTGCTGGACTGAGAAGGTAGCTAGATCCATCTTCCGCCCATTGAGCTGAGCTCCCCCCTCTCCCCTCCATTCCCACGCTCTCGGATCAATGGCGAGCTCTCTCAGAGGCCTCTTTCCCACCCACTTAGTGGATTTTAAGTTTCCCCTGCAATCCCATTCCTGAATCACCCTTGCCTGGGGGGGGTTGGTCCACGGCATGATCACTTCTTCCCCCTCCAGGGTCAACTCCGATGACTGATCGGCTGCTCTCCACTGCTGGACCTCCCTAAAACCAGAGGCAGTCCGATTCTGGACTCTCCAGATCATTTGTCCCACCTCCTGCCCGGCCCGAAACATACCACAGTCCCAGTGGGTCCACCCCGTTGGGGCCCAGCAGGTCTTTCCAACTGTCTGGTAGTGCCCGAATAAGCGATCCCCAATGTGCCTCTGTGTTTCTTAGGCCTTGCAGCCGAGGCTGCACTTCAGAAAAGGGTCGCCAGCAATTGTGAACTTCCGACCAAAGATCTGCCACTATTGACACCCCTCTTCTGATCCATGCCCTCCCAAATGTGGCTGGGCCGGCCCCTGCGCCAAACCCGTCCTCATCCGTTACCGCCGGGTTCTCAAAAAGGCATTGACGGAGAATTTCTTCCTTAGTAACTGGTGGAACCCGTTCCTCTGGCGGATGCTTGAGCCATGCCCTGCGCACAGCGTCCCAAAAGTCCGAGGAGAACTTCTTACGTAGAAATGAAGGGACGAAAAAACAGATCCATACGTCCTCCGGACGAGAGAGTTGCCATTCTCTCATGAGTAATTTCTCTGCTAACAAGATCCAGTCATCCTTCTCCTCCGCCATCGCCACCCTGGACAGCCATTGGTGTAGCTGTGCCTGATTCTTCTGCTGGATGTCAACTAGGCCCAGTCCACCTTGTTCCTTGGGGTAAGTAACCAGATCCCAGGCCACTTTAGTTATAAAGCCCTCTTCAGCTGTAGCTCTGGGTTTCCACAAAAACCTTGTGGCCAATCTTCTTATCTCCGCCAGTGTTGCTGCTGCCAGTTCCCTCACTGTCCCTACAAACCAAATGAGTGAGAAGAGGGCTACGTTGATTACTAGTGCTCGCCCGAAGAGGGAGAGGTGCCACGCTGAACCCCAGACCCTAAGCCTTGCTGCCACCCTCTGCTGTAGCATCACTCCTTGGGTCAATCTCCTTAGCTCGGTGCTCACCATCACCCCCAGAAACCGTTCCCCGGCAGCCGGGTCCACTCGCTGCATACCCCATTCCGCTTGTAGCTCTAGGCCCTCGGGAAGGAGGAATGTTGATTTGTTCCAGTTCACCTGGGCCTCGGACAGCAAGGAGTACTCTGTTAACACTGACTTCACTGCTTCCAGAGACTCTACACTGTTTGCTGAGACCAGGAAGAGGTCATCCGCTAACGCCTTCGCTCTGCAATCCTGGCCAACTGCCACTGGAAGACCTCGGATGTGATGGTATTTCCAGATCCGGTTCAATGGAATTTCTAATTGCAGCACGAAGAGGAGGGGGCCCAGCGGGCATCCCTGACGCAGGGACCTGGAAAGATGAAAGGGTTGCGACAGGTGGCCGTTCACTTGCACTGAAGAGGTTGCCAGAGTATACATTCCTACCACCCAACTGCAGAACCCTTGACCGAAGCCCATCTTCCTGAGGGTCGTCAGGACAAACGGCCAGCCCACTCTGTCGTAGGCTTTCTCCATGTCCAGCAACAAGACGGCCATATCCAGGTTCTCTGCCTGGATTTCCTCAATACATTCAATTGCCGTTAGAATGTTGACAAAGATCAAACGCCCCTGAACAAAGGCCCCCTGGTCTTTCTCCACCAACTTCGCTAAAATCTGCCCCAACCGCAGTGCCAGGTTTTGGCCAGCAACTTGTAGCTTACGTTAAGGACAGAGATTGGCCGGTAGTTACGGATGTTTGCTTTGTCCCCCTTTTTTAACATAGCCGAAATAACCCCGCGTGTCATCTGTTCCCCCAGCTTCCCATCCGTCAGAACTTCATTATAAACCCTTACTAGTGAAGGCCCTAAGGCCCCCCAGCACGTCCGGTAAAACTCGGCCGTAAGCCCATCACGCCCTGGACATTTCCCAGGCGCCATCACTTTTAGTGTCTGCGTCAGCTCTTCCTCTGTGACTGGTCTGTCCAACGCCAGCTTGTCCGTTTCTGTGAGGGTGACCGCAGATACATTTATTTAAGTGCTACCATGAGTTTGCAGTAAGGGAAAAAAAGAAAAAAAAAAAAAAGTCCGGCGGGGATCTGAATCTGCCAACCAGGCAGGGTTTGCCTTTCTCTAACTGCACCTGCACCTTTCCTCAAAACGGGTGCAAATTCTGCACCTGCACCTTTCCTCAAAACAGGTGCAAATTCAGCAAAACAAACAAAAGAAAGAGGTAAGCAAGTGTCTCCCATTGATACAGCTGGTGGCCGTGGAAACAGGCGCCGGCCTCGTTTCTGGAGACCTGTTGGCCTCCAGAAACGAGGCAGGCACCTGTTTCAACGGGTGCCAGCGTTCTTTTTYTTTTTGACGGGTTTTTTTTTTTTTTTTCCCATCTTTAGTTTTCATTTGTCCCCGCCTTTGTTTTCACATATGGAAACAAACCAGTACAAGGACTTGTAGTACAGCGTCCTTTTCCAGTGGGCGGGCCCACGTGGGCCCGCGAGCGCTTTTTCCCATTGCTCTACCTGGCCCTCCCCCCCCTAGCCCCGAGCGAGATTTCCTTGTGGCGACAAGTTTGTTTTGCTGCAAGGCTGGGGCCGTGTACTGGTGGATTAAACATTAAACGACCAGTAGATCTGGGCCGAGGTCCCACTAGCAAAAAGGATAGGATGGAGATCCTGAATCTGCATGTGTTTTATGCAGAGATGCAGAAAAGCAGTTCGATCTCGATTTCATGCACATCTCTATAATCTCGTCCAGATTCAGGCATTCGATCCGATCCTCTTTGCGAGTGGAACCATGCCCCTGGAGAATTTGAATGAGCCTCTTCCCAAATTTAGGGGACTCGGGACCGGGACCGGCTGGGGGAGGGTGGATTTTTCTTTTTTTCTTTTTTCAGGACTGGCCCTAGTTCCGCCCCACCTCTCATGGGACAACTTTCTTTACTGCTGGCTCTTCGATCGCCATGTCCCAAGCCTCTGAAATTTGAGGACAGGTTCAATGAACTTCAATCATCAATCACGATTTTCAATTTGGCTGGGGCCATGTACTGGTCGGCTAAACGCCTATGGGCACCGGTGTTTTGCGCTAAGAAAAAACTACGAACCTGGTCATAACAATGGGAAGATTCACATGTGCAAGCTTTGCGCAACATGGCACCCTGGCCCTTAATTTGGTAAGTAGAGTGAAAGTATTTTAATTTTTTTTATCCAGTTACTCACATTTCTCATCACCAGAAAAAGGGAAAAAAAGAAAAGCAGTAACAGATGAAGGACCATTGCTGAATTTCATGGCAGACCTTGGAGTGGTGTGTGTGTGTGCACTTGCGCTTGCAAAATCACTCTCTCTCTCTCTCTCTCTCTCTCTCTCTCTCTCTCTCTCTCTCTCTCTCTCTCTCTCTCTCTCTCTCTCTCT